GCACGAATATACGATTGCTGTTATGGAAAGCATTGTCAATCATTACAACAAACACGGGTTGAAAGTACTTTAGCAAGCTATCAACGCCTGAAAGGTGACAATAAAAGATACAATGAATGAAGGAATTTTTGAACCAAAAAGTTAACAAACAAAGTAAATCAACTCAAGTGAAAGAAATGGTTTGTGTTAGATATAGAGCAGTCGAGAAGTTTTTCTTCCTGTTCATGGCCATGATTTAAAAGCATGGGCAATAGAAGCTGTTAAAATTGTTAAAAATGATGATTCCGTAGCCTCAAGAAGTTATATTGAAAATTCGAGAAAGAATTCCGAATAACATCACGGAAAATCACAAAATCTGTCACCAATAAAACACGCATAAATGAAGAAGCAATCAGGCAATCAGCTATTGATTTTGCTACAGAACTGTTGAATTTAACAAAACAACCATTTGCTTTCGATAATGTTTGGAACACAGACCAATCTGGGTTCAATAATGAATTAACTTCAAATAGAACATTGAGTGACAAAGGAGAAAAAAAACTTATGCTTTGGTTAATAGGTTATTTCACTCACGTACTCTTACACCATTCAAATACTCATTTCTAACGCAGAAAAGCTTGCTACTAAAATTTTTATCAGGTAAATTTGGACCTTTGATTTCACGTAAAGTCAATGAAGAAAAACCAATCAACGTTGAAGTTACTTGCACCACGAGTGGTAAAATGACCAAATCTACTTTGGGCTATCGGATTAAGCAATGTTTAGATCATATCTTAGAATAAGAAACAATTTTAATCCAAGACTCTTGGACTGGTCAAAAAGATGATGAATTATTCCGTGGAAATTTACGAAACTATCCCATGCTTACCATTGGTACTGTAACACCAAAAGCTACAAAATATTGCCAACCTTCGGATGTCTATTTCTTTAGACAGTATAAATTATTTTTTCGACGTTTTCAAGACGCTGTAAGAGCATGCTTACATGAACAGGCTGTGGTGAAATTGAATAATCGTGTCTTCATCATGGACATGCACGCCTTTATTTACAATCAACTATCAGCTCCTATATATTAACCTATGGATTTCACTCATGGAAAGCATCTGGCTTCACTATACCTAAAGAGTTAACAAGCTTCAAATCATGCCCACAAGTCAACTTTGATCACAAACTTGAAGATTTTTCGGTTAAAAATTGTACTATATCAATGTTTTCAAAATTTTGCTACTATAGCAAACCATTCTGTCCAAAACATACCATTGCTCCTCTCCATTTACATTGAATATGTTTAAAAGTTACTTATTTGGCCCGAAAAATCAATGGAAAATAATGAAAAAGCATTTAAAATGATATTATAAAGTTTAAACAAATCAAAAAATGTCTCAACCAAGCCTTGAACCCATAACCTCTTGCTATTTCAGCCAATTAGCAAAGGGCAACTCGTTCTCCCAGGGCAAGGGCTACTGGCATGCCTAGTTTAAATTTAAAATCTATTGTTTCATTTCAAATCAATCATCACTCTAGCCAACATCTTATTTTGTCAACTGTCAAAAGTTTTATTTCAACAAAAAATGTCGATCATGCAAGAGCTGCTTGAAGTTGAATTAATAATAAGTGCTCTTGAAGAAATCTGTCAGCCAGAGCGGAGGGCCATCAACCGTTTCCTCGATCGTGTTGAACGGATGGTTCAAGATTTGGATGATGTCGAAGATGATTCGGACGAAATCCAGACGCTCCTGCCCCATCTCCAGCTTCGCTGCCTTCGGTATCTTCCTCATCATCTTTACCCTCATTGGCTTCTATTGATTCGTTACTGTAGACTGTTGGAAGAACCTCAAGGATTGAAAATGTATGTAATGAAATCCAACAAACAACAGGAATGGACATTATATTACTGCAAATGGTCAAAAGCTAAACTCTATTCTTGACATTCTTGGCCGAATCGAAAATCGCCAGCATGCACAACATTTGCGGGTTGTAGAGTTCTTAGCTGACATTAATGTCAGCCTAAAAGATTCAATTATACAAGGAAGTCAAACTACGAGAAGTGCATTGCAAACATTTGATAGGGCCAACAATTATTTATTAATTACGTTTTACCTTTCATTTTACACTTGGACACTTAAGTTCTTGCTCAATCATGATTGATTACAGTCCATTTAAAATAAGAATACTTTTTTTGATAAGATAAAGGTTTAAGGGTTAAAATTGATAGATGGAAGCACAAAAAGGTACTTCCATTGAATTGATTGTGTTTTTCAAAATAAACTAAATAAATTAAATATTATTTAATATTCTCTCTCATTTTTCACATTTTCCCATTGGTTCTCCTTATCTAATCTGATTTCTTTCTTATCAAAAAAAGTATTCTTCTTAATTTGAATGGACTGTATTTAATCAGTGATAAAACAGCTCTTGAACACTTCAAAATAGTAAACTAATTGTTGCACTTAGTGTCAACATTTAGATTTGAGAAATTTCAAGACAAAAAGGACTACACTAGATACTCTCATACCAACCTTTAAACTCCATCTATTAGCAATGAAAAGATTGATCAACTTGCCGTTGTTTGTACAACTATTAATACAAAATAGTCTCTGAAAATAGACTGAAATGCTATTTCACAGTTGTCCTGTTATGAGAAGATCAAGAGCTTTTTCTTTAAAGGGTTGATACAGCGTTTCTCGATGACTTTAGACAAGTTCCCATAATGTTTAGTCGGTGTCTCAAAATGTTTGGACAAAATCTTAAGCCAGACGTAAAACCAGTAACTCCTATGAAATGTTTCAACAGTTCTCATAATTTTTAGTCAAGCTCTCAGAATATTTAGACAGAATCGGAAAGAAGAATCAGTTAAAGTTTAAACAAAGTTTAATTTGAATTATAAAGCACGTTTGAGACAGTGAAAGTGAATAAGTAAACAATTCACTTTATTTACGTTTGTTAAGGAATCTTAAAACTTTTTGTTTGCTGAGAAAATTTTGAACCACTCAGATAATCTGAAGACGGCAGTCGAGCAAATGGATCAATAGATCGAGCAAAGTCCAGTTTTGTTAATCCCGATTTGACTAGTTTCATTTTTACGATGAGAATCGATTTTTAATGTTTTACTACACTGATCAGTGTATTAGTAATAGTACATCACGTTCAATAATAGTACATCCACAATAATTTTCATCATTTAAAATTATAAGAAAAGCTTTGCACACAAAATGGTGAGATTCAATAGATGAAAACATGGCTATAACTTAAATGAACTGTTGTAAAGTACCAGGCAGTTAATTAATCAATAGCAAATGTCATATAAAGAAAGTTTGGTTGAAATAACCAAAATACATGTACTATTATTACTACTAATATGTACTACTAATATTAAGAAAACGAGTTTAAAGGTGATTCTAAATCAAGTCAAGCCTCAATATTAGGCTGGACTAAACCGCAAGTTACTTGTCATTATAGGAGATTCTCCTTTGCACTATTGAGTTCGTCGACTGGAGATGGCCAAAGACAATGAAGTTGATCAAGTTAAAGCTAAACTATCGCCATTGGTGAAGGAAGACGATTCTATGACAGAGCAGTTAGAAATGTTATCAATGAACTTTGCAAAGCTGGATTCTGTTCAAATGCGAACAATGTTTTGTCAACACATTTAAGCCTTTGCAATCATAAAGCGTAAGTAGTTATAAAAAGTCCGGGTCTGGATAAATCCAAACCCGGACAACTTTTGATGATTGATTAAAGGGTAAGGGAGGGTTTTTGCGCGGGAAAACAAAAGTGATGTCTTTGTCTTTGAAAAACAAAACTTTGTCTAAACAAATTGAACCTTTATTTTTAACGATTAAATTTTTAAAAATGGTTACATTGATGTAACAATGTTAACTTATTAAATTTTGCATACAATTTTTAACAAATTAAAGTCCTCTGCATCTTTCTTCCACTATATCAGATGGGACTTGTGTCAACCTTTTTGACTCTTTGAGAGCGAAATCGGCAAAAGAAAGGTCGGCATCACTTTTGATGCATAACATTTCTTTCAGGACCATATTTCCTTTCCAAACCCTTTCTTTTTCCTTGGTTTCTTTATTAAATTCTCTCATTAGTTCTTTTATTTCTTTCTTATACCGGATGACTTCTTTACGGCCATTATCCTCAATACCATTTCTACGTAAAAAAATAACAATAATGATTATCAAGACTAATAAGATCTTGATTATATTCTTATAAGTCTCAGTGTCCATCTTTACCAAGATAAAGATTAACTCAGTCTTATATAGTAATGTTGATCCAGACCCGGACAAGTTGATCCAGGTGGACATGTCGATCCAGACCCGGACAAGTGATTCTATTTTCCCGCGCTCTCTTACCCTTTAATCAATCATCAAAAGTTGTCCGGGTTTGGATTTATCCAGACCCGGACAAGTGTATTCAGACCCGGACAACTTATCCAGACCCGGACTTTTTATAACTACTAGCGTAGGTGGTCAAGAGCTTGTGCTCATCACATTGGTAATCACGGTTTCGATGCAATTGTCTGATGTAAACTCAAAATACAAAATCTTTGAAGTAAATGAAATTGCCTTGCTTTCGTTATGAATGATAAAGGATTAAATACAGTTAATTAATGTAACATTTGAATAACAGTGAATAAAAAATTTTGCTTGAACAATATCTTATTGAAATTTTTTCAATTTTGTACTCAATAAATGTAAACTCAAAAGGCAGCAATCATCTTTCTACTCATGTCATGTAAATTCATTTTATTAACCTCTAACTTTTAACTTCTTTTATTGAATTAATACTTTGTAATAAGCATTTTCACATTGTATTCGTCAGCTATTTAACTAGCTTTCAATTTCTAACAAGAATCGATTGTTTAAAATCTAGCGATTCATCTCAAGTTTATTATCTATTTTGTAAAATTCGATATCCAAAAAAGCAATGGGTCTTTCTGTAGCTGTTTTCTTTCTATGTGATTATGATAAAAGTCCACTCATGAAATATTCCTTTGCCTTAACTAAATCAAATTTTAATGTTTATGTTATGGCATATTTAGGTAATTACAGTTTGAAACAGAAAAACATTAACAATAATAATTACAGCAGTGAACTAATCGAAATTTTCAATGTATTATATAATATAATTCATCTCTGAATAATATACAATAAATTGACCATATTTGTTTTATCACAAAAAGATATTGTATATAAATTGAAAAAGGTATCGATAATTTAAGACTTTTTGAAGTTGCTAATTTTTCTCATTTTTTGTGCAACATTGCACTATGTTATCTGTATTAGCAATCTTTTCTCAGTAAGATGTCTTTTCAGATCAGACGATATAATTTACGACATTTAAAAGCTCTTCTGAGGCCAATGGATGGCAGGATGCTATATTTGGGAGTTCATTAACCGATCGTTCATGCAGTAATTGAATGGGTTAGGGTATCCAGATTGATCACGAGAAAATTGTATAAAAACATCATTAATGAACTTGAAATGAGCAAAAATATTAACAAAGACATCAGTGTGGAACTTTCTACAGGGTGTCTGTTCGCTACTCAACACACCATAAAGTGAACCACCGTGAATCTTTTCAAATTGCAGGATCACCTGCGTCACGATAACATCCACCTGCACCCTCGCTATTCTGAGTACAGAAATTATAAATTGGAGCATACTCAAATCCTGTCTTTTCATCCAGACACTTTTTGTCATCTTTTATGATTACAGTTGCTTCTTTCAGTACTTCTGATAGGTACGTGTTTTCAGTGATCCCAAAACCTATTATCTTAACCTTTGTATCCACAGGAAGACGTCTGGAGGCCAGTTGAAGCCTAGCATTAGGTCGAGTATCAGGTCTGTCCAATAGTACAACAGCGATGTCATGCATACTGTATGGTCGTTGTTTTAAAAAATCTGGATGTATCACATAATTTTCAACTTTGAAAATGGGATCGTTCTTGCCGATCAACCGTGAATGTCGATAGTTGGGTAAATTGTGAAATTGTGAAACAAGTGAGGCACTAAAAAATACATTAGTATTATGTGATGATTAGTGTTTTCAAGCTAAATTTGGATAATTATTTAAAGCTTACTTGATAAGACAATGAGCTGCTGTTAGCATGACATTTCTTTCCACCAATACTCCACCACAGTAGTGTTCATATGGGCGCACATCATAGTCATTTGGTATTTGGATGGAACAAAAGTAAGGGTATGCACCTTTTCGGGTAACATCTTTACCCTTATAAATTTTTTCTTGGAACTCTGTTGAATCTTCTATGTCTGTCGATGATACAAAATTTGAATATAAAAACACCATCAAAATTGCACTGTTGAGCATTTCTTTGATGAAATTTTGCACAATCGACTTTTAAAACTCAATTGTCGACAATGAAAGCTGCAAATGGTCTGACTCTTAATCCAAGTTAAACTAATATCAAACTAATTCAACACTCGGCAAAACAGATTGGTTCATTAATTAATGTTGGTTAAGTTAATTCAAAAAATATCAAATAACTATCCATGTTGATTGAAGGTGTTTATAAAAACAAGTGAAACCTAGATCATGACTGATCGTAATTTTTTCACTGAATACGGGACTGGCTATTTTTCACCGTATTGTCCAATGCGGTAAAAACGGCAAAAAAGTGGTTGATGAAGTGATGGATGTGGTGGAAAAAAGCCAGTCCCACTGAGTACAATAAATTCAGTCCATATTTAAACACTCAAATTCTTAATGAAAAACCAGCGTCAATGAGAAAAACGTAAAAATAAAATAAAATCTGGTTATACAGCTGAACAAAATGAAATCTTTTTGTACAGTTAAAGTACCATATTTTTCACTTAACTCTTTACTCGAAAGACAGTTTTACTTATCCTTCTAATCCAACAATAAACCATCAACCTGAATAACCAAAAAGTTTCCCTTCAATGTCAATAGTGAAAGATACGGATTCTGCATTTTTCCCCTACCCTGTTTGAACACTAATTTCTCAGTAACCCGAAATTCCGAGAAAGTTCGAACTATTTTTTGCGATTGTAGTTTAATCATGGCTTTCATCCTATGAGAAAATTTTCTTTAGAACACGTTTAATTTGGCCACAATCTTCCCGCAAAAATTTCATAGTTTGACTTTATATATTGTATGTATAGATGTATAGATTGGATAATGCAGTGAATTTCAAATAACTAATAATCTTGCCCCTAATGCTTGTAAGTTTTTCGGCCAATTAATGTTTCACTCAATTAATAGCACTTGCTGTGTAAATAAGCTATTTCAAGTTACTGGCATTATCTGGTACTTACTGTACTAGGTGTCTCATTGATTTGCCTTTTGAATATTTGCCGCAAAGAGATTTGCTTGAATCTGTTTGCTCAATTTAAGCGAACCCAAAAAGTACAGTCAATTGGCATCCATAGAGGGACACACTGGTTTAGTCAATTGTTCAACTCAACCAGAAGAGTTTGCAGTCAAAGAGTGAAAAGTTTATTATTAGTAGTTATTATATTACTTTATTATTAATAGTTTAGTTTATTATCTTCCAGTTCATTTCTTGTCAATTCACACTGATTGTTTTTAAACTGTGTTAACTTTTCAGGTGCAAATTTTTTATACTTGCAGTTAAATCATATTTATTATTATTATAAATATAGCTCAATAAAGTCTACAAACTCGGGATACTCTAAAGTTCTATTCTATTCTATTCTAATATTAACATTCCCCTTGAATTATTTTATTCTAGTTTTTACTTCTCTACAAATGCATGGGGAATCGACAGTCACTTGAAAAACCAACCACTTGTCGTCCTTTATGCGCCACAAAAGATTCGCTTCATACACGTGTAACAATTGCGTTTTCATTGCTCAACGTCGAATCGTGAGTGCGAATCAAGTTGACCTTCAACGGAAACAAGAACAGAAAAAAATATGGTCCGCTATGATTGTCTTTTATATGTTCAAATGATGAACTTGGATTTATATTACAATACAATAGATGGCGTTCAGTTGTTGAAATTCAAACAAAATAAGAGTCTCGAGTTTTGCTAGTTGAAACTGTTTTCATTTTTATTAATTATATCACCAAATACAAGTTCAAAATTGAAATAACGATCAATTAACATTGACCAAAAGATTCCAGAGCTATTCCAGAGTAGCGAAGAAAATAAAGTTTGAATTTTGTCTTATTCTATTAAGATACTCATTTGGAGTCAATAAATCCTGCCATTTCAACTCCAAGAGAAGCGTATTCAAGATTAATAATGATAAGTATCATTCCTTGAGTCACTCAGGACTAATCAACTTAATTAATTCAACTTTTACTTTATTTATAAGGACTCCTAAGGAAAAGACTTGAATGTATATATCATTGGTAAATGGGTAAATACAGTTAAATGTATTATCGTATTTAACCTGGGAATTTTTACGATAATTATTGAGATGTGAAAGAAGAAAAAGGAAAGCAAGAGAAGTTGGAAAGCTTTTAGGATGATTGATTAAAACAATTTAATTTGTCAACTATCAAGGTGATGATGTTGTCCAGTGTGTGAAATTGAGGCTTCAATGGCCTCTTCCAAGTAATGGAAAGTAAAGTAAATAGGAAAACAAATAACACACAAAAAAGCCAAATCACACTCAATTAAACCCTTTCTAAACATTTACAACCCAAAACGAATTGAGTTTAACCCTCGAGAACTGCGTATTCAATGTTTAATTTCACGATTTTGCGCCAAAAATGGTACTTTAACTAAAAATTTGATGGCTATTTCTGGTTAAGATAACAAAAACAACTTGAAAACTTGAGAGCTCGAATCAAATGTGATTTAAATTGAAATCAAATGGAATTCAAATTAAACCCAAAGCAAACTGTAATGTGAACAAGATTGAATGAAAATTGAATGAAAATTGTACGTAAATCGAGAGCAAAAAAGGTCGATTCTGTGAACAAACATTTTGCGCAAAATCTCGAACTGAGTTGCAACTTGAATCCCAGTTTTCACAATAAACTTGCCAGTTTGAGAGCAACTTTTCATGATTAAACTTTGAATCCAAATCAATTTATCATTAACTATTCTTGATTAAAATTTGAAACATTGTTTACAATTTATTAATCAAACTTGAACCATTTTCCATTCAATTTTGTTTGTTAATCAATTTGTTGAAAACCAAGCGCTCAATTTGCAACAGTTTCAAAGCAAAGCAACCAAAGCAGTTGAACCAAAAACAATGGCTACTTCAACTACAACAGCAACCCCAAATCAAACCAATTCAACAGTTAATCAATCTAATACAACAACCAACAATAACAGCAATGTAAGCAAACAATCACGCAACTTTATGAGCCAATTTCGTGACAATAAAACGAAAGAGTTGAAAAATTTGACCTCAGCTCAGTTTATGGAAGTTTGGAGTCACTATGATCATGATGGTAAGTAAACTGACTTTTCAGTGTTTAAACGTTTATTAAACTTTTACAATGTTTGATTATCATTAATTTAAAAGTGTCTTATCCTGCGGTCATGATCAACACATGACAGTTCATGTCTTGTTAATAATGTTTTTTTGGGGTTCAAAAGTCATCAACTAATCTGTACATGGCTGGTTAAGTGACACTGCCATAGGTGTGTTTACAGTTGATAAATTAGTTGATGGATGGTAATAATCAACGGTTCAATTGCTCATCATGTTTAGCTTCACCAAATCAATTCATTTTGTTTCACTGAATTCAGGATTACAATTTGATTTGGTTAAATCACTCTTTTTGTTTGACAACTTGCTTCCACATTCACTCTAGTTATTACCAGGTTTGATGGTGTAAATCAAATTTAGCCAAATCCAAGCTTTTCAAGATTCCAATTACAACTCAATCCAATTTACAATCTTATTAATATTATAATATGAGATTGCAAGCAAAATAATCAGCCAATTGGCACATTGAACAATCTCAACTTACACTTTCCTTTGCTGGGCTTGGGTTTGCATTTTTACCTTCATTTTACTCTGACTGTTCATTTATAATAATAAATCGTTTATATCCATAGTTATGTTCACAATTATTAAGGTTAACAATAAACATCAATCATGAAAATATAATTATTACAGCTAAAATCAATGTGTTTATAGAGAGGAAAAGGTTTGCTCATGAAAAATATTAACCCAAATTCATTCAAGTACAATTATCATTTGTCTATTGTCACATCTTAATAGTTGAATTGTTAATTGGATGAAAATGCATACATTATGATTAAACAAGGAAAGTTAGTCAGTATCAAAGCAATTAAATATCGTCACCTAAATCTAATTAGCTTCATTATTACAAGCCATTATGTTTTTTGGGTTGTTATTTTTGTACATTTTTTGCAGTTGCATTCACTCATTATTGTAAATACACAATCACTGGGAGTTTTGTATTCATTTTCATGAGACAAAAAAAGGGATGAAAATGAATATTGAATGATATAACTGAATCTAATGAGACTCAAAAGTCTAGTCAGTTCTTAATATAATGAAGAAAAGAAACGAAAAAAAAGATTTTCATTTGAAAAAGAAATTCCAATTTCTTAAAAGCTATTGCAATCAATTCTGGTTTAAAAATGTATTCAAAATGTTTTCCAAAACTGGTTTAATTGCAATTCATGATTAATATTGATGATCATTTTGAGCTTTTAAATGTTTAATAAGTTGATCGAGTGGATTCCATTAACAAGTCATTCTGGCTTCCTTGGTTACCTGGATAATGATAATTAACAATAAATTTTTTACCCTTTACGTTAAACAATTTAACTTAAGCTTTTTGTTATTCATACGTTGACATTATCATGGACTGCTGAGCAAATACTTGAGCCAATATTTTTGATTAAAATTTGTTCCAAAGGATTGACAGGCATTGAGAGTTAAATTGTTGGTCAACATGGATTCGTTAAAAATCCTTTTCCATTGTTATGATTCTTTTCAAACAGTTGACCAATTGACCGTGCATCATAAACAGCAAAAATGATGATCAAAACGCATTTCCTTCTTCTCCTTAACTTTACAATTTCATGGTGAAAATTGATGAATATGTTAGTCTCTTTTTTACAGCTTTACAGCATTTCATTTTGATATTATTATTTGTTATCACAATTACTATGATTATTATCATGATGTTTCTCGAAGCGTTTAAAGAAAGGCTTCAAGTTAATAGTTAATAAAAGATAACTGTATCCTTATACAATCATTATTATTAAACAGGAGAAGTAAAAAAATGTATTTTTATATATTTTTTTCACTATCCAAGGTAATTTATTTACCAAATGATAAAAGGAATAAGAAATGAGCCCTTCAAAAGTTTAAGATGAAATAAAATTATGATGTTATCACAATTTATAATAACATTACCATCATTTCTTGATATTATATTGCAATATATTATAATACGATCATGAAATGCTAGGTGTTGTCTACCTGATCTTGGTTATTTTTCCGATCAGCTTTCAACTTTTTGCCTACTTTTTTTATTCTTCTTGAGCAGCTTTTCTGTGGATAATCCGTTGAGAATGAACGTATTGTTGGTAAAGAAGTGTTGATTCAACTCTAAATCTTGTTGATTACATTTACTAATTTATCTTTTCAACTTACGAGCAACTCGGTCCACAATTCTTGAAACTGTCTTGAAGGCACCAATTCTAATGGTTTCAAAAGGGAAGGTAAATGTTGGAAAATGTTGAGAGATTCTTGAGAAGTCAACAATCTTGTTACTGTCTTATTATTTTTATCCTTTCCCAATGAACAAGGTAAAGTTGCAGTTGGTGATGATAAAGATGAGTTAAATAGGGAAATAAGAAAAAAAAGATTGAAGAACATTATTTCAAGTCTTTATCTTAATTGGAAAAGGATTTTACCAGTTTCACAATCATTCAGACATAAAACTGGTGAAAATGGGTTTAGGAATAGGTAAGTTGTAAAGCTGATTTTGGGATAATTTAGTTTCTCAGTAAAGTACACTCTTGGTGGTTTATCACCTTCCCTTGTTAATATGGACATTGATATCTTTTAAGACGATGTTGAAATGAAATAAGAGCAAAATTAAACTCAAGAATCTTTATACGATATTTCAGTTCAGTTGTGCCAGTTTTCACCGTTTCTATGGATTGATGCTGAACAATGTCTTTCTGAATGTAGTATCTACTAGAACTCAGCTCATCGAGTTCAATACGCATAAAAAGTCTCAGCTCATCGAGTTCAATACGCATAAAAAGTCTCATCGTTTGGCAAACTGGATACGGAGATTTAGCCATTAAATTGGCGCTCAATTTACAAATTGAATGTTCTTTGCTTTTAGATTTTGTTCATTCTCCATGTTTGATGTTGGAATCAATTATAATTATTTTCTCTTTAAACTATTAAGTGAAGATTAATTGTTGAAATGTCAATGAGTTGAGAATATTAATGATGTTGGTTGTAAATGAGATGGTAGACCTTGAATTATTAATATATCATGTTAACCTGTTTATGTTCATCTCAACAGAATTACTTTTGATACAAATGCTAGGAATACCTCGTTATTCAGCAAAATATTTATTAATTTCCGTTCATTATTAATGCCATCTAATAACCATTATTATACCCAAAAAGCATCTAAAAAACTAGTTATTAATCCATCATCATTTAGAATAAGGTAAGATTACAATTATTACATGGCAACATCCAACATTGAACAAAGTCAATGTTAATCTTGAGACAGCACAACATTAGGGATTATAAAATTGTCACTTCGTTTTAATCCATCAATTATGGGATATTAAAGTAAAGTTGCAATTTAATAAAATAATTGACCACACTGTTCAAGGTAAACTGAAAGATAAATGACAAATACATGACCAACATTGACGACATGCTTTAATATCAAATCTATTAAAAAGTAAACCCAAAATTAAGATGTTCTGACAAGTCAATTCATCAAGTGTTGTGATCTTGACTCTTTACAACACTTTTCACGAAATCACTTTCAACATGAAATCACTTTTACAATACATTTTCAATTGGAATGTTGTTTTATGTAAGACAAACTTTGGGTAAGCAGAGAGACCAAAGAGAATCTGGTAAACTAATCTCACCAGAAAACCTAATCTAATCTAACCCAATTTTTATCTTTAGTACCCAGATTCGTTTACTGATATAGCTAGATGAAGAGATAGACTCTTAATACGATTCTTTCCAGTTCACGGATCTCTCATGGATTATTGACTAACAATTGCTAGTCGACTCAATTTTTGGGTAATCGATCACTTCACCCAAAAATAGCGAATTCAGTCGACAATTTTCTCATTTTTGATTGCCTTCAGTGAATCTTTAGTCAACAACTCGCGTCTTCCTACAAAGGCCAATTTTATTTTCATTTGAATTTTACAATTTTCATGTTGTTCGATACCAGATTAACCAGAATTTATGTAGAGTCGTTTTTTACTGTCTCTAGTTTATTTGCGTTCTAAAGCTTTGCTTCTCTGTTTGAATAAATCAAGAAAATGGTCTTCTGTTGGTTACACTGCAAATCAATTGCAATATAAATTTGATTTTTGTTTCTTTACTGTAACTATTAATAGATAGATTGAATTTTACCTCTTTTCTCATTCCCTTTCTCATGTTGATGGAAAAGAGAGAAGCGAAAGGTAAAGGTAAATACAAGGTTGACAAGATGATGAAGATGATGATTACCATTCATAAATGGAGCACAATTGAATTTATGTGCATCCCAAATGCAGAAAGCCAATAAATTAAATGATGACAACATGAAGTTGAGCCTCAAGATAGAGACTAAAGGAAACCCATAAAATGATTAAGATAGAGACGATTGATAAACATACAATCTTACTTATCATTTTGATTTGTATGTTTCGTTACATGAAATGATCATTTCCATGGTTATCATTATTATTATTAATATCATTATCATGAAGAAGTAAAAAAACAGAAAAGTAGAGGAAATATATATCTAGATGTATACAAAATGTAATAAACAAAATACCAAAACGCAAATCAGATTTTCATTGCCTTTGTCAGACAAAATCTGCAGACAAAAAACTCTCTGTCTGATGGAACAAGAACTTGTAATTATCATGAAAATCATCTTTCAATCTTCAATCTAATCAATCTCATTAAAAGCCATAACTGGTGTACACAAAAAAGAGAGAATAAGAAAAAAGAGAAAAGAAAAGTACTCAATGAAATACTAACTCAATTCCAAGTCCATGATTACATGAAAATTAATTGAAACATTTCTCTTGATAGAATGGTCCAAATTATGAACAATTATCCATCAGATGTTTCCTTCTTTTCATTCCTTTGTCTTAACATCTTCACCTCATTATTATATCAATTATGAAAGAGTTCATAATTAACCGGAATCGAGCCATTACTGTGAAAATTATTTAAAAAGGCAGCTCATTAACCAGAAAAGTTTTCCCTGTTAATGCCAAGTGTTTTCACACTGTTGAGTTTAAACTAATAACCAATTGAAAGGGAAACAGTAAAATGTCCAACCTCAACTAAACCCGATTAACCCAAAAGAGTGGAAAAACCAGAAAATGAAAGTTGTGAAAATTTTACACTTTAAATCATTGCAATTGCAATCGATTTTTACTCTTGTTTTGTTTTCTGGTTTTGCTTTTGTAACAACAATCCAAATCGATAATATTACAATTAACTTCACATTTTCCTCATCACCAACTGATTGATTATTTGCTATAAATCGGTTGTTATTAGTGCTGATGTTGACCATGCAAGTTGAGTGTGTTAATTGAAAGGTTCATCTCATGAATTTGCTTACTCTAACCAGAGTTGGTTCTCGAGATGGTTATCAGTGGGCAATTGATTGGTAAAAGTTGATCAAATGTAATCAACGGAAAATTGAGTTTATCGGTTTGTCTTTTCTTGCTAATTAAACCTGACATTTAATCCCTGTTTTTATCAAAATATAACAAGCAAACTGAAAGCCAGTGTCAACATTGACATTCCCCTGAAATGGTTTACAATTTTATTGTAAAACCTCTTATTGTTCATAAACCTTGGTTCAATTGGCCACAAAAAGGTACAATCATCTTGACCTTATTTACCTTGTACAGATGAATTGTTATTATCAAGATAAACTTAATGATAAGCATAGAAGATAGTTTCATTGTGTAACATTGAGGTTCAACTGAAAAGCAAAAGCTTGTTTAACCTGAGGGCAAGAAATGCTGGCAAATACTAATCTATTTTGATGAACAATTTGAGGTAAAAAAGACTTCAATTTTCCATTGACAATTTAGTCTTTCCTCAATGAACCAGAAGACCCGATTTTCACATGAGCATTAACGTCCATTTTCACATTCATTTCTAGGCCTTTTACTTTGCAAACGATTATTTTTGTTCAGTCCATTGAATTACTTTTACCTTTTTTTTGCTTCGTCTAGATAATTATCATGTTGAAGCAAGTTGATGATGAGCTGAAATCTCATTAACATGAAAATAGATTTCATTTTATTCAAAGCTCTGTATAACATCGTGATCAGTAAATGTAATGTTTCCCATTTTTCACAGCAATTTTGGTTTACCAACAATTTTCATCTCAACCAGAAGCTAAATAACTGTAGGTGAAACTGGTCAAACCTACATTTAACTCTACTTTTACCAAACACAATTGGCTGGAATAATGAATTGCTTTAAATTACATTTGGAGGATAAATTTGCCTGCTCAGGTTAAATGGTGTTTTGTATTAATATTTTGGTCTGATGTTAGCACATTGTGAAGATGAATAGGGAAAAATGTGTGAAAAAAAGGTAACAAAAATTGAAGTCACTTTTTTGTAAGATTTGAACGTGATTCGAATTGTAATTGTATTCAGTGAATTGATGATAGTTAGTCAAATAAAGAGTTGAAATAACTTGGAAAAATTCAAGTCAGTGGAGACAATCGAGTAAACAATTGAATAAATTGAGTTGATTGTTGAACTGATATGTGGGAACAAATTAAACTGATTCACAATTTTCATTCAACTCTCAACATTAATAATAATACCAAGTGTACTCTACTTACGACTCTATTAAATCATCTTATAACACTTTCAATGTTAATGTTCACCAATCATTGATTACATTGATTACTTAAACATGAGAAGGCTGTTAATTTTATTAAAGGTATAAATTCAATTATCGTTTTTTGGACAGTTTATAAATGATTGTAATAAATATGAATATAATATCATTTTTTTACATCGAAAAATATTAATCACTCAAAGAGTAAACTTAATCCTGTTTTGCATTCCACTTAAGATCAACTATTATTAACTATTCACAGCTCTTTCAGCTCTTGATTTAACAGTTGATTTGATTAATTAGTTACATTCATCGTTCCCATCAAGTTAACTGTGTATATATTTGTTAGTCTTTGCTGAGCTTGACAAGCTTCAAAAGAAGGGTTAACTTTGAAGGTTTTCACTTTATGCATTTACCTTAATTAATTCATATTGTTATTCATTGTGATTAAAATAATAATAAGCTTGTTTTTTGTTTCTCATGAATATTTAATTGAAAACAAACATATTCATCTGAATATGAGATGAGTTGGATGCACGATGCTAAAATAAGTCAATCATCGATTGTAGGGTAAAGGGAGATCAGGGAAGGATAAGTATCTTGCTCAACCTAAGAGAGTCAACTTTGCAGGTTGAACATTTAGACGTCAACCGCCAACATATTTTCCTTACACTCTGTTACTTTTTTAAATAAATAATTGATACTGAATTAAATCTTAAAACGATTAAACATGCGAAGTAAAACTGCTATGAATTATTTTTAATTGTAATCAATGATTAAACTGTAAAATCTTTATCACTCCCAGTCTATAATTACTCAGTGCCAGGAAATTTACTAAAAAGATCTACGAAGCTACCTAAGACTGATCTTGTTGGTGTTGTCTGAGTTAGACCTAGAAGGTTGACTTTGTAGGTTGAGTCTTGAGATGTCGACTGGTTCAACACGTTTTCATCAAGTTGCATTCCGTGACTTTTTTTGATAAATAATTGATGCTAAAAATAATCATAATAAAACTATTGAATACAAAAACCAAAACTGCTGTCAATTATTTTAATTAGTTTAATCAACGATTAAACTGTAAAATTTTTATCACTCCCAGTCCGCAATTACCAAGAGACAGGAAATTTACTAATAAAATCTTGTTGAAGTTGTCAAAGTTTAACCTAGAAGGTTGACTTTGTAGGTTAAAGTGGGAGACATGCATAGACCTCAGTTAATGTGTTAATGAACCACTTTTGGTTTGATCGTAGGAAACAAATGATTAATGATAATCAAAGATTATTAAGTTTACCCTGGTTCTTGATCAACTATTATGTTACCATGTTAATGACATTTTCATGTTTTGTCCTATTTTCATTGCTTATCCATCAACTTTTGACTTTTACAATTGACCTTCAAACAATTGACAATTTATCCAGGAAATGGTTTCATTGAAGGCAAAGAATTGGATAATTTTCTTCGTGAATTTATTTCAAGTGTCAAAGCAATCGATGCGCGTCCTGAGGTAAGTTGAAACCGAATTTTCGTTTTCAAAATAACTACAACTATCACGAAAGATTAAGTTGTATTGAAGAAAAAAATGATGCACAAAAAACTGAGGAACAATCTGATTCAGTTAAAAGCTGAGTGAACAACAAGAAATATTCAGTTGATTTGTAAACGAGGTAAGAAAATCGATAAAAAAAATACAAGTTTCTACCTTTAACACAGATTATTTACCTTATTTCTTCATCATTTTATGACTCTTTATCATCATTCCCATCTTCATCTTCAACCTAACCTTTTCCAACTGTCTCTTGAATAAGTGTTCATCTCGAGGAATGATTAATCGTTGATGAAATCATTTCCAAATCTTATGAGATTCATATTATTACATATATTAATAGAAAATTTTGGGTTCTTTTTCCTGTTCTCATAGCCATACGGACTTAAAACATGTAATAAATAATATTATATAACAGAGCAGAAAATTGAGTTCAGGTTCAAGGATTTTTCAGACTCGTCTTTCCCAGAATCTATCCATTGCTTTGAGATACTTTTCACAATTTAATTTCAACTTGGAATCGCTTCTCTTGGAACAATTCTATCAAAACTTGACTTCCCATGTTGAACTGCAATAAAATGTTCAATTACAGGTTGAATCGATTTCACAATTATCCATGCTTGACCAGGTTATAACTATGTGCAATTAAATTAGTCTGCTTATAACAGTTATTGCGAGTTGACGAAATGAATGGGAAATAGTCGTGAGAAATCCATTGAATGGGAGTGGAAAATCCAAGTTGAACCAAAAACTAGAAAGTATTTGGTTATATTTCTGTATATTAATCGCAATCAAATTTTTCTGCTCATCCAACTAATAGAATCAACTGTTTATCAGTCTGGCAATTGAGATTGAGTTAAGCTATGCAAACCTTTAAATCGATTCTTTGATCGAACGTTTCAACCTTTATATCTGTTTCCATTTCCATTTTGATTTTTATCATTTGATCCAGTTTAACGCAATCTAGATTCGATCAAACTTGATTCAAGTAATCGAAATGATGGTTTGGAGTAAGGAATTAATAATAGAATTGCTATTTTGACGATCGTATTAATTATAGAATGGGTTTTGGTAACCATTGAGTGATATAATAAATGCAAAATGCTGAAGACCAAAGTTACTTAGAAATGAGATTTGCTTCATAGGTCAAAATTTCATGCTAATTTCAAGGCTTCAAGTTTTCCTCAAAGAAAATTTTAGGCTACGAGTAATCAAATAAAAACAATTGAAATGAATGTAAAACTTGTTCTCTGTTCTGCTAAATAAAAACATTGCTATGGAAATTATTTTATATTCAAATTATTATATTATATGTTAAGAAATCCAATGGAAACATCTTACAATAAACAAGAGTGACATTGAATTCAGTTAGTTTATGCAGTTGCAATCGACTTCTTCATCAAAGGTGAAGCTATTCTAGTTACCAATAAAACGTTTTCAGATGCAATTAATACTGACTCGTGTTGAGACTACAGAAGCTAAGCTTCAGAAGGAATTTTTGTTTCTTGTAGCGATTTATAATTAGAGTAAATAAACTGTTTTCATAGTCAAGCAACTCAATGCTAATTCTTTCAGGACGGTGACATAAAACTCATGATAGAATGATAGTTCACTATAATTCCATTGAAATTTGTGGAAGATTTTGACTTTCGTTTCTTTGCAAAACCCAAAACGTTAGTTTCTAACCTTCTTTACATTAAAAAGGGCAATATTTTGATAGGTTTAGAGGGACATGAGATAGTTATTCCATGTAATGAATGCTTAGGTTTTTCCTTCAAGACAATTTAAAGCATAAATAGAGTTTCTCTTCGACAGCAAACTGCAGAATAAAATTAACTGTTGTATTTATGCGTAATAATGTGGATCTCATAAGATTTTGAAATGATTTCATCGACGATCAAGGAAAACTGATTTTAAATTAGTCAAAACTTTTTCCCTGATCGAACAGAGTAGCTGAATAACTTAACACTCATTAGTCTCAGGTCAATTTAACAATGCCCAGGTCATGCTATCAATGAAATGCTCCAATAGATGCCAATAAGTATCGTGGAAATGACAGTATTTGGACATTTTCCAGTCCAAAGAATACAATTTTCAAATCAAATATTTCCTAAATTATCAATAGCAATAGACATTTGTTCATATCACGCAAGATATCAATAAACACATTTCAAGCTAAGCAAAATTCTTGCAAATGTCTCATAAATTGCTGAGTTGACATGAACAAAACATCGTAAATACATGATTGCGAACAAAGCTGTAGTCTGTAGACTTTCTGACTCTAAGTGATTTGAGTGATAATCCACGAATTGGATCATTAAAACACATCTTTTGCTTCAAAAGAAATCACAAAGTCGAAATCATTAACAAATCAATTCAATATCATTTCTGTATTTTGCTAACCAAATCCTTTAAAAGAATACTTTGTTACTCAAAAGACTTTGAGACACCTTTTTGTGCATTTCTACATCTTTATTCAATTATGCATATGATTCAGGTTAATTTACTCTGGATAGATCGACATGCAATAAGCTCTATACAATAATTTCTGGTCAGATCGTTCGACTTTTGATATCATAATTCCCGCAAAACGAATCACGAAATAGTTTTCGACTTGGGATAAACTGAAAAGTTGTTTGCAATCGTGAATCAGGTTAATCTTTTTAAGCACTTCTCTTTATTCATTTGGACTTTATACTCAATGATAATATTGTTTCATGTTGTTAATGTTTGTAGTTGTTTAGGAAACAAATTTTGCTACAATTTCGTCTTTAATCATCGAGAGTGAATGGTGAAAAGTAACGATAATAGTGAAAGTAGAACCTTGAAAATAATCAATTGTTCTGTATGAATGAAAGTCTAAAAGGTTTCAAAATGTGTTTACTTTTAATGATTTTTTCGTTTTTTACTTCACACATTCATTGTTGTTTTCATTTTGTCACTTCATTAACATCGTTATAGTTTAAAATGGAATGCAATTAGTCTAATCATCATTCAGTGGAAACATTCATTAACAGATGAAGCCTTTCCATTCCTCATTGTTAGCATCCAATCAATCAATTGAACTGCAATTCATTCTCTTTTCATTCTATTAATAGAAGGAAAACAATCACAGATTCGCTCTCACAAGCATCAAGTTCACCTGATTATTCTGGTTAACATTATCTGATGAAAGTTATCCTCAGGTGATGAACTAAAGGTTTCATCTCTAATTAAAGGTGGAATTAACAGTTCTAAACATTTGTTTTGAAAACATTTTCTGACGTTTATCTGACCATTCCAATCATCTTCACACTCAATTATAATCACAATCAACCGACGAATAAGCTAGACTCATTCAATGGAATTATTTGTTTAGAGAAAAAAATTTTGATTAAAATTCTCAATGAAAATCTAATTTCTGTCAGCTTCTCAATTTGCATAAATTGAACCCTGGTTCAGTTGAATATAGTCTGAATTTAGAGTAAACTGAATACAATGTTTGAAGAGCGACTTTTCATTGAATCAAAACACTTGAAGCAATGTTTGTCGACTGCCATTGAATGCTTTAATTCAATTAAAATCCTAATCAAATTGATAGTCAATCAAAAGCTAGTTTAGAATTGATTTTCTGGTTTAATCGCGGAAAAGGCAAAATCTGTACAAAATCAACAGTCGTTTAAGTGAAGTCAACATCCAACGTTAATATTATTCAGAATAAACATTTTAACCAAAAGCTTTTAATCTCAACTGATTAACTATTAATGTTTGAATAACCATTATGCATGTAATTTTGTTAATATTTCTGGTTATAAAGTAGAACATCATTAACGAGAAAACATTAAATTGGTCAATAAATTTTAATGGCTTATCAAATGATCGTTACGTTTGTCTTTTGTTTCAACATCCACTCATCGATTAATTGGTTCAATCGTTAGATTTATCAGATTGCTATTGATCAATTGATCCATTATATGAATAAAAACAATGAAACAGTTATGATCAGACAAAAGGTTAAATTATTCAAACCTTTTCGTGTGATAATCATGTCAGTCTGAGTTTACTCTTCTTGCTTCAACCAACTCATGATTGATTCACTTGCACAAAAGTTGATTAAACAATGGATTTAATCAAGATGTGTTGGTGAAAAAATGAGTAAATCAAAACTTGCAAAAACCATTCTCCAAACACTTTAACCATTAACATCAAGTTGATAATTTTCAAGACAATTAACTCTAATCTTTTGCATTTTTCATCCTCAAATGGTAAAATCAAGATGAAAGTTTTCATGAGAAAAGAGAAAAAATTTTGCATAAAATTTTCCATTCATTAGCACTTTAGTCAGTGTCAGTCTATGAATGAGTCTTCATCATGGAATTGTGAATTTAAAGAAATTTCTTCAATATTTTGATGAAGAAACAAAAGTAAACCTTAAAAAGAGTAAAATTTCATTTGCAAAATATTGAACCTTTAACTTTACGTTGTGTTATCTGATATTATTACCAATGAAGGGAGGCAAAACTCCCAGTTGATAAATGAATTTTTAGGTAATTGATGAAGAATTTTACATTTTTTCCTTTCTTTCTTTATCTTTTTGTTTCAATCACAGGCAGTCTCTGATGCCATGTTGGCTGAAATTAAGGAATGCTTTATGGAAGCTTATGATGACAATAAGGATGGTAAAATTGATATCAGAGAGGTAAGAATTGTTACTTCAAGTTGATTGCATTGAACTCCATTTTCCTGTTGAAACCCAAATCACAATGTTTATCACTGTTATCGCTGTTACTATTGTTGATGAGAAGGAGGTTGACTATGATGACTATTGACTTGATGCGACATGAAAGGTTATATTGAGTTTTTTGTTTTTGTCAGAAAAGGAAATTTTCTTATCCTCAGTCAAGATATATTTTCTGACAGTTTTGTATCTTTTCACTTTTGGACCCTTTTCATTTTTCATTTTGATGACACTTTTTTTTGTTTCCCTTCAAATCTTGACACTTTTTCTCATTTTATTCTCTGTTTCGTCTTCATCTTTTGTTAATCATCTTCATCATCATCATTATCAGCTTTCAGGTTCACGCTAAACCACAACATTTTGAAACGAGGCACCAAAAAATCACTAGTTTAATATCAATCAACAATGACAATTACAGCGAGACAATTGTCCAAACAAGTTTAGTTGCTTCTTCATATGAAACCGAACAAAAACATAAGTTAATCATTGAAGTTAATTCAATTGCAAATGTGGAAATCCATCAATCATTACCTTTACTTAATCGACTTAATAATGTTAATTTTACAGTCAATTACTTTAATTAATAATTTATATTCAATTGGAGTAGCTTTTACTCTTCAACAGATTTTACTGTTTATTGATATTCACTTCAATCCCTGATTAGGTCAACAGAATTATTACCATTTTTTCCATATCGATAAATATTTCACTCAACATAATTAGCTAACCTTTCAGGGCTGAGCTAAAATTTATCGAAGAATGAAATTTCTCCGCTGAGAATAATACTCTTTCAGGTTCATCGACCAAAGATTTTTATTAACAAATTAAAGTGTTACATTTTCTGCAAGATTAATGACCGAACTGTGGAACTGCAAGTTATCATCCGATCAAAACTTATTCGCAAGCTTCATCGAAAAGCTTGGTAAATAATCTTTACAACAAAACGTGTAGTAATTAATCGCTAACAAAGTTCTCGTAGTTGCGCTAACGAATTGTCAACCGATAACACAGTCCAGAACTTTAGCTCTGAGCAAGTGGAAGATACTTTGAAGACTATTTCTTGAGTGAACCTCAAATTGCATCGAATTTCTGTTTTGCTCAGCTTTCTAAACAAGATTTTTCATAATGATCTGCAAACTGGAAAATAGTAGACTTTATAATTTGTAGTTTAAACGGTTAAACTGAATTTAATTAAAATTGAAATTGTTCTGTGAAATCTTTTTCGATGTTTATTTTGCTATGTTTATTATATTTAGCTTGATCATTATTGAAACTCTGTAAAAGTTATGAAGAATTGAGATATTTCAATGCAATTCCAAATCAATTTTATGCGAATAATGAATTCAGCAAAAGTTTAGAAACTCAATTTAATTTTCATTTAAACTTGAAAAAAGTTTCCACTCAGCTTTTTTGTCATCGTTATTGAGAAAAAAAGAGTAATTTTACAAAGTTGCTTCATTCACCCTCAGAATGAATAAACTTAGAAGTTGAAAAGTTGCAAAAAGTCTCATTTCGTTGCAAAATTTTGAACAAAAAATGAATTTTTTCCTCGATTCTTGCAGCTATTAATCAATTATATGATTGGAGAAGAAAAAGAAAGTTAATTTTACTGAAAGCTCAAATTAAGGTTAACAATAATACAAGCTTTACAGCAGATTATGATAATAACATTGAAAAGTTTCTTTCCTGGGAATTCGCCGAGAGCTTTGTCTTCCTTTTGTCATTCATTTTGCATTCTGTTCAATTTCAATGGTTTGTCACTTGATGAAGCATGACAAGGTTGTGATAAAGTTATGAGTTATCAAGTTGAATCAGATGAAACTAGTTTTACTGATAATTACACTTAATGAGTCTTTAAATGCAAAGCAATGAGCGAATAGAACCTTGATTCAGGCTGTGATAGCATCCAACAATGAATAGTTTTTGTTCAGGTTTTAGTCTTTTCTCTTCTTCTCTTGTGTATTCAGTGTTTATGTTTACAGAATAGAAATTCATAACTCAACTTTGAAACTCGTATAGAATGGTTAGCTGAAAGAAGTGGCCTGAAGCAAGAAAAAATGAAAAATGGTAAACATTAAACAATGGATAGAAGGTAAAAGATAAAGTTGACTTTGGGTTATCATCAAGTTTACGTTTTTTGGCTTGGTTTCTTTTCTGCTCTTCTTTCAAACTGATAAAGGTTGATTTGAAATTTCCTGTGGACATGTTGCTTTCATTATCATTATCTTTTCCCAAATGAATCACTCAACCAGAATGTTGAGCTTAATTCGAGTTTGTTTTCCCATGAAATCATGAATCTGACGTGAATCAGAGTTGATAAAAACTCGAAAACAACAAATCTCGTTTAGATTAAACTTTTACTTGAAACAAAGTATTCATTTGAAAAGCTCATTTAACGCTCCATTTTTCTGGTCAATTGCATGCTTCATGGAAATGGTCCAATAATTTGCACAAAAGGCAGCCCAATGTGCCAAAGAAAAGAACCAAATTAACACAAGATTAGAATGCAAAATTGCTGAGAAATCAAATGTTCTATTTGTTCCAAATGTTCCAATTGTTGAACTTGGAAAATCATAATCGTAGCAATATCTCAAGAGTTAATTGAATTTGCCAATTATTCATTCGAATGTTGAACAAAAAGTGTTTCAAGCTTAGACGATATTGATAGCTGCTGATCAAGCATTCGTTATGCATCTTCATCAGAATTTTGACGCTTCTATTGTTACCAGAATGCAGTTTAAATCGCAATAAATAATTTCCAACGATTTATATTTTCCAATCAACAACCTTCTCTGTTTACCTGCAATTATTAGTGCTTTTTTGGGTTTGTTATTTAGCCAAAAGCTCTTGTTGGTTTTGTTGTTTGTTTCAATTTCAGTTGTACCTTCAGGTCATGTTAAAGATTCAAGATTTATTCACTGCTTTTATTGCAAATGAGTACTATTTTTATCTAAAACTTTTGTTGATTTTGGCTCATTTCTGGTTCCATTCATTTACTTTTCATTTAAATCCTTCAAGTTGAACTAAAAGGCAAAAAAGTTGAGAAACATTTTACAATGTTTATTAGTTTTGACAAAGAAGCAACTTTGACTTTTGATAAACATTGAAATGAACAATTTCAACAGTTTTTGTTTTACCTTTTTCCCTGAAACTTGACACTTTACTAACCATTTCATCTTGTCTTCTAGTTGGCTCAATTGTTACCTTTGGAAGAATCATTTTTGCTCTTATTTCGTTTTGACAATCCTCTTGAATCAAGCGTCGACTTCATGAAGGTAAGTCTTGCCCTTTTTTCACCTCTTACAGTGGAAAAACAAACATTTTACTTCTTCTTCTCAACATGATTAATGAATAATTTTGCCATGAAATTGAATGGAAAGATTTGGTCAACAACTTCAAGATTTATCTTGATCTTGTCTTCTGTTCAATTGAAATAAAGAGAAGCAACTGTAATTATTACTGTTAACATTGACAATTTAATGTTTCCTTTATGTTGTATAATCCATTGTACACACATTTCATGGTTAAAATGGTGATTCTAGGTTGTTGGACATTTCACCTTCCTTTACCTGCCTTTGTCCATTCATTTATGTTTATCCTATCATTATTATTATTATTATTACCATCATCGTTACACAAGATGAAAAGAAGAGTAAAATGATACAAAAATAGAGACATTGCTTGTTACAGTTCATTTTGCAAATGGGAATATAAAGTTTATCAAGGTGAATAAGAATCCTTTTCATCTTTCATTTTACTAATAGATGTTCATGATTAACATTTATATTATTATTGTCTGTTAAAAATGTCATTCCATTCCTTTTCGTCCATTTTATATCAAAGGTTATCAAATTGACACTCAATTGTAACCTCAGTTGACAGGCAGTATCAACTTTCTGGTCACCAAAATTAACCCAAAAAGGTTCAACTTGGAACCCAAATTTTGCTAGTTTTGACAAGAAACTCAAACTTTTCAAAAGCAGACAATAATTGCTAAAAGAACAGAATTAAACTTTCGCTGAAATCCCAAAGTAGAAGCTTCTTTCTGGTATTGTTCTACACAAATTTGTGCAAAGTAAAATAGCTTTTTCGAGCTTTTGAAACATTTGCTTCTAAGTTTGTTATTTCAATCTCGGTTTTTGTACTGTATTAGACTTAGACTGTATCAATCAACTGTGGGGAATATTAATACTGGTGGTCATTTCCTCAAATCTTGCAAAATTAACCCAAAAGTTTGCCTTAGAACCCAAATTTTGTTCAGTTTTGTCAAGAAACTCCAACCTCTCCAAATCAAACAATAATTGCTGAAAGAATAGAATGAAACTTTTGGTGAAGAATACCTTTTCATTATACCTTTCGAATCATTTCCCAACTTGACTATTAATCTCTACTATGAGTTAAATTCAAATCAAAGTTTACTTATGAGTTAATAGTCGATGAAAACTCCAAAGTCAAAGCTTCTTTCTGGTGTTTGTTGGTAAAGTCTTTAAAAAATTATTGCTCGTGCTTTTAAAGCATTCATTTTGAGTTTAATATTTCATTCTCGGTTGTTGTATTAGACTTGATCTGTATCAATCAATTGTGACCAAATAAATCTACTGATGGACATTGAGATTTCTGCAAATCTTGCAAAGTTTCAGAATCGAAACCTTCAACTGTTTTAAAAAGTAAAGTTGCAACTTTGACTCAATTAAGAGTTTCAATGTTAGAGTAAAAGCATTAAAATTGAACGAAATATTGATTAATGAAAAGTTAATGATCATGTTGACCATGTTGTTATGGTTATTTACCATTGTTATCAATATGATTTCGGACAGCGATCATTAAGGTTTGAAAAGTTGACAAAATGTTGTTTTTCATTGAAAACTCAATGAGACAAAAATGAAGATATCTTTACAAGTATATCAAGTGAAAGACAAAAATGTTTTTATTTTTCCTATTCATTGGAGTGAAAAGTTTCAAGTAAACGAAAGTAAAGTGAAAGAAGAAGAAAGAGAGTGAAAGAAATATCTTAAAATTCAGGTCAAAATGATCATGAATTGAATTCATGAATCGATCTGGAAGAAACAAGAGAATAAAGCATAAGGAAAAGATAACTCATCAATCAAGCCTGGCCCTGACATAGTAATGTAAAACCATAGAACAGCTTGAAAACAATTGTTTCAGTGGAAACACACAAGATGATGATGTACAAGATGAAGAGTAAAATGAAAAAACTGAGGAAAGCGAACTCATATTTTCACTTTCAAAACAGACTTGATAACACATTTTGATGAAGTAAAACTCAAAAGCCTTATATTTAACCATTCAAGTTGAAACAAGGAAAATGGTGAAAAGAGAAAGAAAAACAATGAAACATTTGCGTGACTCTTGCACTCTTCATCCTCATCATTTCCATCTTCATCTTCATCTTCATACGCTTGTTCCATTCCCTTTTCATCATTTATTCATATTCACATTATTTGCTTCTCAAACGCATCTCGATAGCAAACAATGAACATTTTATCAATCGTTATTAACTTTCAACTTTTCAATGAATAACAATCAAAGCTTCTGGACAAGAAACATTGAAATGTCCAGAGAAACAAAATGAAACAAAAACAAAGTCCACAAAATTGACATTCACTGACAATTAAATTATGATTATGTTGAGCACAAAACCAATAACAAATGATTACTTTATCCAGTCAATTGTTACAACTCTTGAGCAACAACAAAAGCTTTATTTTTATCCTGCAAATACATTTAATAAGCTAATTCATTTATCCCGCAAGAGAGTCAAACAAAAGAGTTAACCTTGGAATTGTATTTAGACCAAAACATTGACAATTGTGAACTAGTTTTTCACTGTCAATCCCTCAACCTTATTCTCATCATTGCTCATCATTTTCCATCATCTTTATCATGTTCATCCTCTTCAACTGTTCTTAACTTCTCGTTATTAGCCTTATCCAATTCAATGAAGCAAATCCATTTCTGTCTCAATGGGTCTTTCAATGATCTAAGCCAATTTTGTGGGTGACAAACAGAGAAAAGTTGATCAGTCTTTTGGTGAACAATAATATTCCTCCAAGTGATAATAACATGGAGTGTCACCATTGACCATTTTTTCCCTATTCCAAGTTATTATTAAAACAGGGACAACATTTTGACAGTTGACCAGGTAAAGAGGAACCATATTTGTTGCTATGCCAACACTGTTTAAAATGAATGGACCAAAGTGTCTTGTCCATTTGTAAAGCAACTCTTGCCTTTTATTTTTCAAACCCAAACTTTGCAAGTATCAAAATTGCCATTACTTGGTTAACCTTGTTTAATGGCCAATTTGTATTAATCATTGATTAATGCCTGCAACTGTTTAAGGATGAATCCAATGAATCTTGTCAGCCTTTCATTACCAAACCTTTCAATTGATCTCTTGTTCAACCCTAACTGTCATCATGTTAACATGAAAAACACTAGAAATTAATCATTCATTTCATCATTAAACCATTTCTTTCTTATACCAGACAACATTGATTCAACATTAATTATCAATATTTATTTGGTCAACATTCCTTTTCCCAAATCCTTTTCATTTACGAAGAAAAGCTAATGATCATGAAATCTGTTTTCATCATTTTCTGTTTATTCGTGTTAATGATTGTTGAAGAAGCGATTGGAAAAGAGCTTTTTCCTTCCCTATCGATTCAGGATTAAATAGTTGATTGAATATTTCATGTTTGAATAAACTTTGATTGGCTTGCAATTTCTTTCAAAAATCAGATAAAAAGGCAATTTTCAAGATTCCCATTTGCTTCAGGCAAAAGAGTTTCATTTCATTTCAATCAAACTCATCATTGTGCTAAGATAATGTCAATCGTTGAGTTAATACTTGAAAACCAAATGACATTAATAATGCCATTAACATCACTTGAATGGATCAAAATTGTACCTCCAAATGCTCAACTGAATTGCTCATTTCTCAACTCGAAATGTTTATCGAACTCTTTATCGATAATAACCATGTAAGTCAAAGTATAAATTGTTAATCAACTCGGCATTTGCAAGTTTTTGAAACAAAAAACGCTTTTCCCTTTGAAACTCACTTTTCCAAGAAACATCCTTAAAATGGTGAAATCATTTCCATTTCAAAATTGATATTCAGTCATTCTCAATGCTACATTAAACTTTGAAATTGATATTTTTAGCTTTTGAAACAAAAGCACAATGAAGCTGAGCCAAATAGATGAGAAAAAAACTCCCAGTAATTGTGAAGAATATCTTTTATATGATAACTTTTGATAACAATATAAACTCAAAAACTATTCATATCTTGTCAAGTTTATCCCAACACAATCTGCACAAAATGTCAATTGTTTAAGGTTTTTCCAGAAATACTTTTCTACTTTCCAATATCAACTTCAAGACATGAGACAAAATTGCATTTGATGAATAATGAAGATTCAATGAAATTCAATTTTAAGAACCTTATCTTATCAACTCTTCAGATGCTCAATCTTAATTTAAAGAAGTGGTAAAAACGCAACTTAACGTGCAAGGGATTGACACTTTTCTTGTCACTCCCAACCTCAACTCCAAGTAAATAATTTCAACTCCAAGCTGAAATTTTCTTTTCACACAAATTCGGTTTAGACTTCAATTAGATTCGATTCATGACGATTACAGAACATTAAAAATCTCTCAGTAAATGGAATTCCAGAAAAAAATTAACGAATCTAATTGCAAACAAAAAGACAGTTCTAACAATTTTATCAGTTTAACCTCCAAAATTTCAAAGTCGAAATTTTCTTTTCACAGAATTTGGTTGAGACTCGATTCATGATCAGCAACAAAATATATCTGAATTTGTCTGAAAAGCGAATTTCAAAAGAAAAATTGACTCAAATGAACTTAATTGTGAACTCAAAGAAGGTTGAATCTTATCAATTATCAGCTAATCTTTGCTCTCGATTCTTTGAATTGATGGCCATGGAATGCTGTGTAATCACTTTTTCCATGTTGATTGGAAAAAATGAGCGAATGAAGGTAAAAAATGAAAAGTTTGAATCTATTAATCATTGAAACAAATATTGAATCCCTGTTATCATTCCCTGGTTGATATTATTTTCCATAATTCTTTCGATTAAATTCAATCAATCATGCTTTATTGATCCCAATATCAATATGATTGACATTAATAGATGAGTTATTTGCTTTGCACTTGATTAAACTTGATTTTTATTTCATCAAAGTCTAGTCAGATAATAATTCAACTTGTTATTCAACTTGAATT